CATGATTTCCTCACAATTATCACTCCTGGAAAGGGCTGGGGAGGTGCCAGGACTGAGCAGGGCTCGGTCGCAGCAGGAGGTACCTGGCAGTACCACACAGTGTTCTGCAGTTTTTGGTTAGCTTTAGTTCATGATTAGACCTTTCCCAAACTAAGAACTGTGAAAGGAAACACTGTCCAAACTCCAGTACTGCTCCCCCTTCTCAGGCAGATCCTGTGCTGGGACTGGAGAGCTCAAACTGCCAACTTTATCCCCAAAATCAACACAGCCCAGAAGCCATGGGTGGCACAACTGGAGCCCCAAAACTGTGGAAAAGCCAAACACCTCTCTGTCCATGCAAGATATTTGGCTCTGGGGTTAGTTATTATCAAGTATAAATCCAGACATTATTTGGCTACTATTTACAGTGGGTTACACGTCCAGTGCTAGCAAAGAAATTTCTATAGAGAAACCAAAACTGGAAAAGCATGGGCATACATTACAAGGAATCCTGTTAGACTCATGAACGCTTGATGCAGTTGAGTTCAGTGCTTTCATTCTTTGCCATTTGTGTGCACAGTATTAAAAAAGAATCCTCTACCTTTTTTTTTTTTTTCCTTTTTAAAAATACAGAACTGTAGTCTAGTCACACTCTTACAAGTAAGTGATAACAAAAATAGAAAGCAGATACCCAGGTGGGACTAAAACTCTACTAAAGCCTGTCCTTTTTTTTTTTTTTTTTTTTTTTTTTTTTTTTTTTCCACAAATATGTTTCCACAGACAATAATTAGCAGACAAACACACTGTTTGCAATTGCACTGTATTGACTTAAAAGGCGGATACAAAATAGTCTAAATCAGGGATGGCATCCAGGGTGGGAGGTGTGTGTGKGTGTGTGAGTGTGCACAGAGGGTGCTGGCACATTTGGGGTCCTGCTGGGACCCCAAAATAGCAGCAGATCCTCCCCTTTGGGGCTCTGGTGTCTCTGCACACTCACACTCACACACACACAGCGATGGAGCGAGACTGCTGGGACAGGTGGCTTCTTTTGTCTAAATCTTTTCCTATAAAAGAAAAAAAAAAAAAAAAGTGAAATTTTGGTTGGTTTAAAGGTTCTGCTCCATGAAGGAAAAAAAAAAAAAATTCACAAAATCCATTGTTTTTCACCTTTTCAGTCATTTCCTCATGAATAAATATTATCCATTAAAAACCTTTAAAAAGGYGCTGCGATACACAGTGTTATATTTCCGTTTGCCTCAGTGACTCTCCGGTTGCCACGATGATTCCTGCAGGTGGATTTTACCCCATCCCACGGCACAAATTGCACTCTGGGCAGGTTTTGCATCCATCCATCCATCAATCCATCAATCCATCCATCCTGTTGGTGCTGAAGAGCCTTCCCGTTGGGTGCCAGAGCTCAGCTCGGTCCGTCAGGCACAAATTGCAGCAGAAAGGAAGGTGGAGGTGCGGAGGCAGAAGGGGCTGTGTTTGCAGCCTCCTCCCGTGCAGGATGCTCTACAAGGCGGACACCTTGACGATGTTGGGGGTGGCAGAGCTGGCAATGTTCGTGCCGTGCCCGGGGCTGCTCTCACCCTCGGGAGTCAGCGCCGGCGGCGTGGGGATGCTGATGATGGCTGTGGTGATCTGGGAGCCTTTGCAGTTCGCTCTCAGCCCATCATCTGATTTCATGTTGAGGCTGGAACGACTAGAAAACAAATTTAGCGCTTGGCTTGTTGCTCAGAATGAGGTAGTAGAAAGGATGGGATGGTTGTGGTTCTTAATCAGGGTCTTATTCGGCTGAAATATTCAGAAGACTCCACTTAAACGTCTCCCCCCGTTCCTGCAAGGCACCATTTATGTCTACACGGATTACACTGAGCTCTGTAATGTTCCCCCTGGTTACCATACAGCTTTGCACAGGGCAAATTGTTCTCTTTCCATCTCCTTCGTGCACAATTCCAGTTTATTTAAAAAGACATCTAAATACACCGTCCTGTGTACTGCATCTTTTCAGGGCACAGGTAGTTCTTTCTGAGAAAGATGTTGTCTTTCTTGCATTTCAAATACCTCTTTCATATTCACTGTCCCTTGATCTTTTCTATTTTATTTCTCTCGGCAGTAGTTTCAAGGATCTGACAGCTGGGAGCATTCTTATTAGATCTGCATCAATTGCAGCCTATAATTAATTACAGAGGGAAAATGATAGGTTGATTTCTGTGCATCTGCACAGCTACAGGAGTCTGCTATTAGCAGCCCAACACGTTCATTTTCAGCACAAGGCCTGTCCTTTCAGCATGGAAAGCTCCCAGTTGGAAAGCTGTGGCTGTTGTTATCTCAGTGATTTACCAGAGAGTTTCTGATCCCTCCAAAATCCCAGGAACAGAACCCACTCTGCTCCTGGAGTGCCTCGGGCACAGCCTGAGCCTGGRGCAGCCTCAGGGGCTGCTGCTTCTCCAGTGGAAACCAGTACACCCAGTTGGTTGTGTTCCACATGAAAAACAACTCAAAAGCTGTCTTTCTTTTTTTCCTCACTCCATTCTCCCACAGTTTGGTAAGCAAGTAAAATAAGTATTGACATTTAAAATATCACCAGCATCTGATTTAGTGCCCGGAATAGCTGACATTCCCCTGAATTACTGCTTCAGGTGCTGGTTTAAAATATTGTCATATTAAAACTGAAATAGCTGGAGACTTGTTTTGTACTTATTCATTCATATTTCATGCTCTGAAATGTCCTTCTGGCACAAAGTAATCGCTGGCTGCCCTAAAGGCAGCTTTGTTTCAGTTTCTACATCCTTTTGATRGGAGAAGAGGAATGGGATATTCAAAACCAGCCCTGAAAACTTAATGGGCTGAGGGGGATTTAGAAAGTAATTTAATATTTGCAGGAATTACTTGGTGAATAAATAATTCTTTTTTTCAGCAATTTATGTATAAAATTCAATTTTAAACATTTTCTATTCAGGGACACTTCACCTGTGTCCTTTTTATGCTTTTTGGGTCACAGCTACTAAGACCCCACTGTGGAATTCCCTTTGTTTGTCTCCCAGGATGTTTTGGGTTGCAATTTAGACTTTTGGACAATGAAAGTGAGTGGAGTGGGTGTCCCATGGCACCGTGCCAGCTCCTCCCCAGCTGTGCTGGACAGACACTGCTGCCCCTTGGTTTTCCTGTTCCCTGGGGAATCTGTTCCATGCCCTCTCTGGGGAGAGAACCTTTCCCTGATCTCTGCCCTCCAAACTGCACTGAGTGAGCCTGACTTCAATCTACCTTTGATCTGCCTTTGATCTGCCTTTGATCTGCCCTTGATCTGCCCTTGATCTGCCTTCAATCTGCCTTCAATCTGCCTTCAATCTGCCTTCAATCTGCCTTCAATCTGCCTTCAATCTGCCTTCAATCTGCCTTCAATCTGCCTTTGATCTGCCTTCAATCTGCCCTTGATCTGCCTTCGATCTGCCTTCAATCTGCCTTCAATCTGCCTTCAATCTGCCTTCAATCTGCCCTTGATCTACCTTTGATCTGCTTTCAATCTGCCTTCGATCTGTTTTCAATCTGCCATCAATCTGCCCTTGATCTGCCTTCAATCTGCCCTTGATCTGCCTTCGATCTGCCTTGATCTGCCTTCAATCTGCCCTTGATCTGCCTTCGATCTGCCTTGATCTGCCTTCAATCTGCCTTCAATCTGCCTTTGATCTGCCTTCAATCTGCCCTTGATCTGCCTTCAATCTGCCCTTGATCTGCCTTCAATCTGCCTTCAATCTGCCTTCAATCTGCCTTCAATCTGCCCTTGATCTACCTTTGATCTGCTTTCAATCTGCCTTCGATCTGTTTTCAATCTGCCATCAATCTGCCCTTGATCTGCCTTCAATCTGCCCTTGATCTGCCTTCGATCTGCCTTGATCTGCCTTCAATCTGCCCTTGATCTGCCTTCGATCTGCCTTGATCTGCCTTCAATCTGCCTTCAATCTGCCTTTGATCTGCCTTCAATCTGCCCTTGATCTGCTTTCAATCTGCCTTCGATTTGCCTTTGATCTCTCTTTGATCTGCCTTTGATCTGCCTTTGATCTGCTCTGCCCAGCACAGCCAGGAGCCCCTTCCTTCCCTTGGGCATCACAGGAGGGACCAAAAATGCAGCCCTGGCAGTAGATCCTGGTCCTGGAGAGGGTCCCACCCCACCCCAGACCCCACAGCCCCAGAGCCCCACAGCCCCAGAGCCTCACACCAGACCTTGCTGGCCCCACAGCCCTATGGCCCCATATCCCCAGAGCCCCACACCAATCCCCCCAGCCCCCCATTGTACCTGGTGGTGAGGGAGGGCTGCTCGCTGCACTGGATGTGGATGGTGCTGAGCTCCTGCATGCTCCTCAGGCGCGTGGCGGGCACGCTGGAGTTGGGCAGGTGGCTGCTCTTCTTGTGGCGCCGCGAGCAGCACGTGGTGCTCAGCCCGGCCTGGCTGGACAGGGATGGGCTGCGGGACGAGGGGTAATTCTGCATCGAGCTCTCCATGCAGTTCTGCTCAAACAGCTGCTCGTCGATGAAYTCGTGGTTCTGCCATGGGATAAACAGAGCTGTGGGTGTCTCAGCCCGAAGCATTGCCCTGCTCTGTGCTGCCAGGGCTGCTCTGGGCAGCTCAAAAACAAAACTCTGCCCTCTCTGAGGGTTCATTCCCYGTGTCAGCAGGGAAATGAGGAGCTGCTGCAGTGACAGAAGCGTGAGGCTGTCACCGCCACCTCGCTCACACAGTCTGAGATTGCTGGGTTTCAATCTGTCGGGCTGGAATTTCTGTTCATTTTTTGTCTGCATTCCAGAATGGCCTCACAAAAGTCTGGAATGCCACCTGGTTATGAAACCCAAAAGGAGTCCATGCTCCTTTTCCTTTTTGCCTGGGGACAGGGTTGTATTTTTTCTGGCCACAGAATTTAACGTTTGCATTGGCTCTTGGGTTCAAAGCACCCCTGCAGCACCTGAGCTGGGAGAATAAACAGGGCAGAGGAGAAGGGGRAGTGTTCAGGGGAAGGAAATTCAGAAAACCGAATCTGTAAAGAGCTTTTGTGCTAAGGAGAAAGAAATCCTGAAAGAAAGAACTGGTATGTGTGGATATAAACACCCAGTAGAGTGAACAGACTTCATCCAGTCCCTGTCGGCATCGGAAAAGATGGGAAACAAAAGCAACCATGCTGAAAGCAAACACCAGATGTCACCAGGAYGAGTGACAACTGTCACAGGGAACGAGGGCACCCAAGGGAAGCCACGTGCACAAAGTGCCCAGGACAAGAGCAGAACGAGAGGAAAGCAAACACGGCCCAGACACGTCACAGAGAGCACAGAGAAAACAGATCGAATCGAAAAGGAAATACCTTGATGGTGGAAGTTCGCACAGATAACAGGGGATCATCCACAAGATAGGACAATCCCTACGGGACAACATGCCAACAGAAGATAGAAACACAGTTCATTGTCCATTCYGCCATTCAGTTGAGTCCCAGCACTGCATCTCTCGCCTCAGCATTCCAGCTCCAGTTTAAATGGGCAACGGGGCCTTTTCTCACCAAACCTCTCCTGATTCCTGAACAGAATCCTTCTGACAATTCAGCTTTGGAGTGGTTTGTTCATGGAAACAGAACAAAACCCATTATCAACTTTATTAGTTTGATCTTTTGAGAGCTGAAGGCAAAGGAAGACAAAGTTTCAGCTGCTGATTCACAAATCACAGATTGGGGTTGTTTTGAAATGGATTTTGGGGTTGTTTTGCAATGGATTGTGGGGTTTGATCAAACTCTGTGAAAATGCAGAAGGGTTTGGGTCAAAGCACTGGGGTCAAGGCACTCAGCACTTGGAGAAAATGCAGTGTGAACGTCCACACTCAGTCTGGGAGTTGGAACCAGAGGGGAAAAACCTCCTTTTGTTTGCACCAACTCCATCTGCTGTGAGAATATGACAAAGTAACCTTTGTCATGGCAGCTACGAGTCCTTGAGGGTCACTTTGTCATCTGACACAGCAGATCTGTGAGCCATTCACAGCCATTCAGCTGCGAGTGTGTGCCAGTGACAGCCCAGAGTCAATAAATAATGCACTCTGAAAATCCTCTGTCCCATCTCAGCAAAGGTGAATTGCCCATTGAAACGGGTTTGTGACCACCACGGACCATTCCTCATTCCATTCCTGCTCACAAAATGACTCTTCAGTGTTTAAAAATGCTGTCACCACAATTTACATTTTCTGTTTTCATAGAGCATGTGAAATACAGAATCTGCACACAAACCCAGACCAGAATCCAAACCTGCTGTGATTTGGGGCTCCACCATGGGAATAACTGCCTGAAAAACCCATTGTGCAGATTCTCCTTCTGAGTTTTGACCAAAATTCAAATATCACTGTGATTGCCACTCTTTGCTAAAAAAAGAGGAACATTTGGAACGTTTTCAATCCCTGAGATCATTGTCTGAGGGGGTTTGGGAGCTGGGAGCACTCAGCCTTTGTTAATGGGCCACTCCTCATCCCCAGAGATGTTCACCTGCCCTGCACAGCTCAGGATTTCTGTGAACCTCTCGAAAATCAAGAAATAAAGAGACCCTGCAGGCAGTGCTGTCAGCTTTGCTTTGCTTCAGCCAATTTGTTGAATTTCCCAATAAAGTGTTTTGGTGAATTATGGGTCACAAAAGGGTTTAGCAGAAGGTTTTCAGCTGAAGAGTCAGATTGTGCAATATCTGCTGGTAATGTAACATTGAATAAAGGCGAGATGAATCGTATCAAACAAATCCAGTCGTCATTGATACAGGAAGAATCAATTCACTGCCCTTGGCATGGTGACCTTTCGAGCTCGCTGGGCTCAGATCACTGTAATTCATTAATTAATCAGCTTCTTCCAGTGTATCTCTGAGCCCTAAGTGGTGCTGTTCCAGCAGAAGCCAAACTATGGAAGTGAAGGTGATTTGTTTAAAAGAAACTCTTGCAAGTTAGAAACCAAAAGTACATTGGATGATGGATGCAGATAGAAAAAGGCATGAATATTTCAAGTGTTAACCTCTCTTCATTCTCTCTASAATGAATCATGGTATAGATAATGTGTTCCCTTACTGCAGAACCTTTTATATAAACCTGGAAGCAAAACATATGTATCAAATAAATATCTGAAATGTTCCCAGAGACTTCTGCATACACAAGCAGCAACGACAAATCAAACTCTGGCTCCCAACACCTCGCAGGATGCAAACAGAAAACCATGCTGTGCAAACTGCCCGAGTGGCTTTGAGACCAGACAGAGATGAGGAAAGATGTGTGCAAATTTAAACCCTCGAACAGAGTTCATTTTCTCGGAGCCATGTCCAGGGCGGGGTCATTGCTGGTGCCCAGGTTTTGGTTTTGGTTTGGAAGCACCAGCAGCATTTTCCTCCCAAGGCAGCAGARCCATCCCTCAGTGCTGTCAGCACCAGGGAAATGCCCTTTAGTTCTTACCAGAAGCACTGAAAAAATGGAACTCCCTATTTCTACAATCTCCCTAACCCCACGCTGAAAATTTATTTGTGTTCAGACAAAGTTGACTGCGAAGCTACTGCTGCCTTTGTGCAGTGGAGGGGGAGCAGATATCACAACTTTATCCCTCTGCACGGGAATTGTTGTTATTATTTTAAAGACAATGCAATAGGAGCTCATTTAACCCTGTGCAGAATGTTCCTGGGAGCCAGGGTGAGTGCCAGCCCAGGAGGGTGACAGTGTCACCCGAGTCACCAGGACTGTCTCGTACTTACGGTTGTTTTTTCCAGGCAGTGCAGCAGATGGTGGTGTTGGCTCTCGATTAAAGAGGTGCCTTTAGTCATGTGCTGCTCCTCTTCCGTGGAGCCCTGGACAGCAAAAAGAGGAGGGGAMWAAAMCMRGKKKWAAA